AACTTTCCCCTCTAATTATCTAACACTCCCCTCCGTCCCTGGCCTCAGCGGGGGACGCTTGTTTTGTTTTTGGGAACGATAGTGCCCTGTCTCAGCCTTTGGGTGTGGCTGCACCTTTAACATTTTCACTTTTCAGAATCCACCTGTGACATTCAGACATCAGACTGTGTCGGCCTCTCCTGCAGAGCTGACCACCCACACACACACACACACACACACACACACACATACACACACACACTCAGCGGCCCTTGCAGCCCTCTGGGAGGGGAAATAGTAGCGGCAAAGCCATTTGCTGCCCACCACGTTGTTATGGAAACTGAGTAGACATGGACTCTGCTCAAATGTTTCCCATGGCCACTTGTGCAGTCGAGGTTTTGTCTGTTATTATGTGAGTCAGGAATTAACAATGTGTGTTAGAGTAAGCTGTTCCTGCCTCTTATTGATCACCATGCAGCACTGATTTATTTATACCTCACAGCCATATAGTCTCTGAGTGGCTCAACACAAAAATGGAATAATAGCAGTTACAAACCATAATTAATGCAGGTACATATTCTTCATATAACAATCTGTGAGCAACATTTTATGTTGATACAGGTCAATCTACATCTGTAGGATATTATTAGTTGTCATTAAATTGTGGCACAACTCATAATACATTAAATTCTTATATGATAATGTCATGTATAGATCCTGTTCGTGAAATGTAATATTTATATTAGATACATTATATGATACATTTACTCAAGTACTGTGCTTAAAGGAGGGGTGTGTAAGATTTAGGGGGATTTAGCGACATCTAGTGGTGAGGATCGCACATTATAACTGTCTAAAATCTCTCCTAGTTAGAATTCCTTCAGTGTTAATTGTTTGAGATTTTTTTACTGGGAGCTAAATTATCCACAGAGCTCTCCTCCTCTCCAAAATGAACGAACCCAGTGATTTAAACTGGTAAAAACACTGAAAAAAGCAGTTTCACGTAAAAAGAAATCAGTGTTCTTCCAACACTGCCTGTTGTGGAGGGGCTGTTAGCTACAGGAGCCGGTGTGAAAATGTAAAAGTGTGAATGGCCCTGTCTTGAGCCAGTGTTTAGTTTGTCTGTTCTGGGCTAGTGTAGAAACATAGAGATGCAACATGGCGGACTCTGTTAAAGAGGACCTCCTCCCTATATAGATATAAACAGCTCATTCCCAGGAAAACACAGTGTTCCTTATTTTCAGGTGATTATACACTAAAGAAAACATACTCACTGACACTGACAAGGAACATTTTACTGCTCAATGACTACTTTTACTTTAGGTATTTTCCTTAGAATACCTACATACAGGTTAAGTGAGGAATTTTACTTGTAGTGGAGTATTTTCACCGTGTTCTAGTATTTTTACTCGCGTAAAAGATATGAGTACTTCTACTGATGCAGGACCCAGTGGCTAAAACTACAAGATAATTTTTATAACCTCATAACACTTTATACTCCTGTGACCTCTGTATGATAATATCCATGGCCTATTTTAGTGGGGTTTTATCTATATGTCTGTCTGTCTGTCTATCTGTCTATCTGTCTGTCTTTGCATATTGAAACACTTGAGGTTATGTAATGTGTTGATGAAATATTTAAAAGTAAATCAATACAATGATATGACTCCAGTAAAGGTCACATGACTGAATAATAATGCTATGATGCATTGATAATGTGCTTACAATGCCTGATGACTTGAAGGGCGTTAAAAACAATGATTAAAGAAGCCTCACAGTGACAGTAAGAATAACAAGCCTTGAGAATGCTGTTAGGACTGATTTGTCATTGAAAACACAAAGTTGTGTGCAGAAATTTTACCCTGTGGCATTCTTTTAATACATGCTTTTGAGAAGAGAATTTGGACTCAAGACTAACACACTGTAACATGAAAGATTTCAACCAAAATGCCATAGTAAATGTTGGCATTGTTCGTTAACTGCAAACCATGATACATTTGTGCCTTATTATGTAGCAGATAAATTAAAACTTTATGATTCTTTATGGCTACACTATGGTTAAAGTGTTAGTGTTAGGTTTAGGCACAGATTCACTTGGTTGTGGTCAGGAAAACACCTGCCTTTGGTGGCACAGTCCTGTCTGGAAACAGAGCGATGTTGCTGTAAAACAACAACCACTTTTAGTGATATACCCCAGCTGGAAAGGAAGCAGTGTCTCTGGAAAAATGATTGCTTTACCTGGCACTATCCCCAGTGTAAGAAACAGCAATGGGTTGCTGAAAAATACCCAGTGGTCTGCAGCTTGGGAGACAACTTGCCAAGGTTACAGGCCATCTTTATTCCCTGCACCTCCTGATGACAAAGATACCTCATAGGCCATGGCATTTTGAAACTTAGACAGGATGCTATGAATAGTACAAATGTAAAGTATCTCTGGTTTGTAGAAATGTACAATGCCAGCCTATTCTTCAGGTGACTGGGCTGCTTTCATTTGTGTAACAATCAGGGTTGTGTGCAGTGAGCATGTTTCTCTTCATCAAGCCACATTTGTAAATCAGTGATCTTGTTTTTACCCTCGTGGATAGAGAGCAAGAGCTGATTGAAAAATTAATATATAATTACACTAGCCCCAAGTTCAATCAATGTTCAGTAACTTGCCAGTTACCGTGTGTTTTTTCCTCATTGTAGTGTGTCTGTGGAACCCACTGGTAAAAGAATGTACATATTAAATGCATTTAGCATTCTGGACACTGTACCTGCAGTGTGGTATACTGTGTGGTTGCAGATGTATATAGTCATGTAGCAGTACGACAGCAGAGAGTAAAATGCATCAAATAAATTGTTACTTAATGGAAGAAAAGAATCTGATGCTGAAAAAGTGCCAAGTTTGCAAAGTCTGAAAACACTAGCAGAAGCTTACAGTGCAGGATTTTGCAGGGTTAACAATCAATATGAGGCTGTAAATGAAAGCAATGAGGTTTACAGTTTTACTGGGTAGTGAAAGATTGCAGTCGTTTCCAGTGGTAAAACTCTGTCTTTGATGCAGGCCTTCAGTTTGTTTAATCCCCAAGCTCAACCATAGATAACCCTGATGATGTCATTGGGGTTTACAAACTTCACCTTGACAAGATGTTCATGTTGCATATCTCAGTTTAAAGGGGCAGTTCACCCTAAAATCAAAAATACATATTTTTCACTTACATGTAGTACAATTTAGATTGTTTTGGTGTGAGTTGCCAAGAGTCGGAGATATCTTTCATTGAAGTGTCTGTCTTCTCTCCAGTATAATGGAACTAGATGGCACTCGGCTTGTGGTGCTCAAAGTGCCAAAAAATAGAGATCCAGAAACAGTGCTGTTGTCAAATTGTCAAAATCTGGCGCTTGGGCAGTGGCTCGTGGTGTCAGACGCCGACGAAAAAAGCCATCCTTTAACACTGGCATGATACGCAGCCGGTCACCATTATAGATCAATGGCACTCAGCAGATTCAAGGGAAAACGCAGTGGGACAAGAACAAAAGTTAATGCGGCAAAAGTCCAAGTAGGGCAGGCGGGAGGGGCCGTGGACGGGTCCAGCAAACACCAACTTTTACCTGGGAGAGAGGTGTTCACAGCCCATAAGATTATAAAGCCTTTTTTCCTAAACCCAACCATGTGCTTTGTTGTTGGCGGGAAAAAAATCAATTTGCTGTGTTGTACTGATGTAGTGCATTTATTTTGAAAGAGACTGCATGTAAACATAAATTTCCTGTGAAAACAGAAGTGTACCTTGAAAGAAGACAATGCACATAACAGGCAGAACTTGACACAGCGTCCCAGAATGTCAACAACCAACACACTTAGGGTACCTTGCACGTCATATCTGGACATGGATAGTCCATGACCAAGTGTTGCTATGTGACGAGGTCGGAGTGAGAATGTGTTGATCACTCAAGATAATCCACAGACCTTGTTGGGTTTCACATAGGAACTATTTTCTTTCCACTGAACTACACCCATTAACCGTATCACCACGCAGAAGGAAGCGTGCATCTACTCATGGACAAAAGGCTCATGACAGCATGAGATCTAAACAATGATGGCGTCCCCCCCGGCTGGGCTGTAAAGTGAGCTAGCTCAGAGGTGCTAGGTGAGCTAGCAGAATATGCATGCTTCCTTTTGTGCTGTGAAAACCACACCCACCAAGTTCATCACTGCACAGAAGGAAGTGTGCATCTTCTGCAAGCTCATATCTCACACTGACACAAGCCTGTTGTCCATGAGTAGATGCACAATTCCTTCTGCGTGGTGATACAGTTAGCGGGTGTAATTCAGTAGAAAGAATGTAGTTCCTACATGAAACTGCTCACAACAAGTTCTGTGGATTATCTTGAGTAACCAGGTTATGATTTCTGTAAAGAGACATTGCTGTTGAGTTTTTTAAATGTATTTTTTTGGCACCTTGAGCACCACAAGCCGAGTTCCATCTAGTTCCATTATATTGGAGAGAGGACAGATACTTTGATGGCAGATATCTCCGACTCTCTGCAACTCACACCAAAACAATCTAGACTGATAAATAGCACTACAGGTAAGAGGAAAAATATGTGGTTTTGATTTTGGGGTCAATTGTCCCTTTAATGTCACTCCAAGCAACTGTACTTTTTGACGACTGGTCACTTGCCATGTTACTACCAGATATAATCTATGTATGACTCAGCATTTTCTCTACCTGTCCCATGTGTGCTACATGTAGAGACATCTGACCGTGGTGCTGAAGGGACAGCGCCCTTTCATGTTGGACTGGGTGTGACTTCAGGGAGCTCTCCATGGTGCTGATCTTGACCTCAAACTTTGAGAAACGCCCTTCTGAGACCCAACTGCATGACATGCTTCACTTATTACATTACACAGCTTTTAGCCGCACTGACATGCAGGTCACTGTACCCTGATGGATTAGACCTCTACACAACAAGTCTTTACTCCGGACCAGAAAGGACCGATCATTTCCGGACGATCAGATCTGATGCGCTCTCACACAGGCTACAGGTAATCCCTCATCGGGAAACATCCTCCTCCTATAAGGCTATTGGATCTTTATTTTGACATAGACTTGGAGGTCTCTCCCTCATATGGTGACTCGTGAAATCGCACAAGGATATTTGGCTGTAGGCGAGAAGCTCATTTAGACTCATGAGTAAGCAATTCAAAACTGTTTGCTGATCTGGAGGAGGATCATAGACCAGGAGAACAGCGTCAGATCTGCCTGTGTCTTTACCTAATATCTTATAATATCACGCATATTTATGGTGCACCTCTCTCTCTACAGTGGGAGTGTTTTCATGCAGCATTAGCCTCACAGATCTTTTGTCACAGTGCGACCACCTGCGCTTGGAAATCAAAGGCGGTGGCTGCCCGGCGTGCGGAGCTGAAAAAAAAAATCGGAGACTCTGAGCATCTGTGCAGCTACTCCCCTAGAAGCCTGCTGCAAGGCATGTCGACCGCCGGGGAAGTACCAGCCTTCTTCAAGAGCATGGGCTCTGACAGCCCCGCCAGGCCGAGGCAGAAATTCTGTGGCATGTTCTGCCCGGTTGAAGGCTCCTCGGACAACAAGACGCTCGACTTTGATGCGCTCTCGGCGTGCAGGGGCAAGAGTGACGGGCGAGTCATTGACCGGCAGACCGACATCTCCCAGCCGAGGAAGGTGGAGATAAGGGAGAGCACAGGGAAGGAGGCTCTACAGAACCTGGATGATAAGAGGGTAATTTTGCATGCTCATTGTGGATTGTTTGGACCATGTCTATCTTTCTGCCATGCATCATTCTGATCTTTTGCACGAACCTGCGCCATTTCCATCTAAAATTGCTCCAATTACAGCCCCTGTCACTCCTTTGAGTTTGCTTAAGCCTACCAGACAACTTGCCCTGACTACATTTCCCAGAAAGCAGTGTGATGTAACAGTGTGGATGGAGGGCCCTCCATGCAGAGCTGCCAGAGGGAGTGGCTCCTGTTAGTTGGAGCTTGCATTACTATTTTATCCCCTCTGCTGCACAGAACAGCTGATCCTACCCAGTGTCCTTGAGCAAAACCATCTGCCTACTCAGTGTTAACAGGTCTGCATGAAAATAAACAGCAGAGATGTGAACGTGTTCTGCACATATGATGTGATGCACGCCTGCTGCATTGTTGTGCTCCTGTGTTTGGGCTCTCGAACAGCAGAATTCAGGGTGTGGAGCTGATGGACGAGACATGGCAGCTCTGACTTGCATGACTTGCAGGAAAGTCTGACAACTTTTTCCCACCGCTGCTTCATCGTCCAGGTTTTATAGCTGGGTGGTAAACTGAGGAACTGACAGTCTCAGTGCTTCCTTTACTTAATATTTAAGCACTCAGGATGCTGTTAAAAGCTTTGTGCAGTGGTGGTACGCCTCATGTTACATATTGATCGGAAGCATTAGCCACACAGTCTGCTCTTTAGCTACTCTCCCTTATGTCTCTATTTAAGTCTTACATGTGCGGCAGCTTGCCCTACCCTTCTCTGATAAGATAATATACATTGGGCATGAATTGATTTGTTCTTGCATATTAATCATAGGAGAGAGCAAATTAAATGGGATGTTTGAAGGCTGGCCTTTATCTCAGGATCAAGCTTGATCATCATGTTTGCAGACTGCAGTGGTGGAAAGTAACTAAGCACATCTACTCAAGTACTGTACTTAATTGCAACTGTAATTTATCCGAGTACTTATCTACATTATACTTCTACTCCACTAAATTTCAGAGGGAAATAATGTACGTCTTACTCACGTTGGAAGTAGTGTATCGGTAATTATATTCCATGGTATAATACATTATTCTGAAAAAGACCACTCTGCATAATGAGCACCTTTTGGTACTTTAAGGATATCTTGATGCTCATACTTTAATATTTTTGCTTCAATAAAATATTAAATGCATGAATTGTACATTGTAGTATTTCAATTTTCACTCAAGTTAAAGATCTCCCACCACTGGCCGACTGCAAAGCTCTAAAGGTTGAACCTTGGTGCAAATGAAAAGTTGAATCCGTGAGAATACACTCAATGGTTTGGCAGTCAAAGCTTTTTTTCCTGGTGTGACCAAGTAATCAGGTCTAGTGGTTAGCAGGGGCGGAGTGGGAGGGTGGTGTCTGGGTGCTCCAGTCCCGACTGTTTTCTCTTAGGCCCTGAATCTATGCTATCCACTGAGGAAATCTAATATAACTGAGTAAATTTTCTTTTGTTGGCCTCATATTAAATTGAGAGTATTAAAGAGCACATTCATTTGGCATTGTTAGGGATCCTTGATGTGTCATTAGAGCAGCCTAGATTATTATGGTATAGATATGTTAGCTAAATGATCATTCTGTGGACTTTACTCTAGCATAGTTTAACAAAAAGAGGTTTCAAGTTTAGTAATGCTGTTTAGGCCGGACTCCTACCCTACCTATGTGATGTGACCAGCACTGTGGGGCCCTGTCCTGCAGCACAAAGCAGGTGATTTTTAACATCTTTCATACTGAGGTTTTATAATTTCAAACCCACCAGACCACTTAAGAGCAGTGGACACAGATTATTGGATTTAGTAACTGTTGGAGCTATTAATGTGACAAACTAATAAGTGCTGCAACTGCTGTCAAGTTGTCGGGAGTCGGGATCCTGGGCTTTCTCTCACCTGACGGTGGTCTCTTTCTCATCTGATGCTAACACCACTGCAGTGTCTGCCTCATCTGTAATGTATTGTTATGTTTCATCTTTGTTGACCTCACCGTTGCCTTTTAAATCCTAATGATCAGCTCTGACGTATATAACAAAAAACAAAAAAAACTTTGGACCAGCAAAGATTTTTGCCACATTTATTTTATTTTATGCCAACGTTGGCCCTGAATATGCATCCTACGTGACTGTAGTTTTTAAAAATGATAAAACTTTTTTTCTTACAAAATTCTGATCATAGTCATTGTTGCCAGGCGGGAGCACGGCCCATTTGGGCTGCGAGGGCTCTGGGAGTACACTTTATGGGCCAGGATGTAACTGAAAATGGTAACAAAAGACAAGTTTTACCTCTTCCTGGGTGGAAGGAGTAAAAGATGGTTTAAGAATGATGAAGACAGCTGGAGAACAATTAGATACAAAATAGGATGCGAGCTCTACAAGATGTTTTCTTTCATTGGCAATACTGAAAGTTTGCAATGTCTGGTTCCGCCCTGGGGGTTAGCTAATATTAGCAAACTTTTGATGACTCTGTAACTAAGATCACTGATGCAGGATTTATACTTGCATCAGCTCTATGCAGAGCCTACACCGTAGCTTAGGCATGTGGCCTATGCTGTTGTGAGCGTTTATATTTGTGCGATGGTGTGTCTGTGTCACTCTGCAGTTACACCTCCAAAACACTAGTTGGTGGCGGGGTTTCTGTGAAGTGCTGTAAAGTTTAGTTGATTCAGAACACACATTAAACATGGCTTTATAGAGACAATTTCAAACACAAGTACACAAATCAGCTTCACTATAACTCGCAGCATTCACAGACAATGCATTTGTCTTTATCTATTATATTATCTATTTCCTCTTCTCATATGAAGCCAGGGACAACAGCAACATTTAACAAAGGTAACATTACAAAAGTCAGCTCCATTACAACTCACAAGGTTCACTGACAAAACAACTGTCTTATACTAAACACGTTTTCCAAGCAAATATAACATGCTAACATTATTAGCACAAGTCTATGGCATTTTACATTGTATAAATTAGCCTAACAACTAGCTGAGATTTCCTCTACTCATATGAAGCCAGGATAAATCACACACAAGACTTAAAATGCTATTTTTGTGGAGGCTTTATTGTCTTCACAATTTATTGTTTCTTATCTGTGAAATTAAAGTAAATAAAAGCTTTGTTTCCACTGAGGGAAATAGATATAGTGGCCTGCGTCGCCGCAACATGTAGTTACATTTCTGGAGAGGTGCATGTCAGGCTACAGCGTAGGGTACAGCGTCGATTCAACGCAGAAGTAAAAATCCTGCATGAGTCAGTTTGTTGCAATGATTCTTCCCTGCAAGTGTACTCTAAGTAAAACTACATATCCCAGCTTTAAAATAATTGCAGTTATCCCTAATTTGGAGCAGAGATTGAGCCATTTAAATTTTTCTCAGTCTGATTTTATTTTATCTCTTGTGATCAAAAATGAAGCATCCATCCTGATATTCAACGCGCACACAAAGTGTAGGCTTCTTCTCCTGCTCTGGCAGCGCATGAAAATAATTTTAAATCAGTGTAAGTCAGTTTAATTTGACATTATATTTGTTGTTTGTCTTCAAACAGTGGAAAATATAATCCCATGTCCTCTCTGATCCCAACAAGTGTCATTTCCTGGTTCTGGTCACACCTTGAAACTATCTTGGCACTCTTTAAATCACCATTAAAAAGTGATTCAAGAAAAGTGCTCATTGGAGCTGAGGGAAGGTGAAATGATCTCACTCTGTGCACTGACTGATATTTAATTTATTCTAATCAAAGGTTTAGAGACACAGCAGATGAAGTAGAGTTAAGATGGCTGCTGGGTGTTTCTTCATTTGTTCACTTGGTGCACTCTCTGCCTCCACTAATCCGAGGAGAGCAATTGATGGCATTAGTGGCTCTTTCCTGTCAATGGAGCAGGGCGAGGCTCTTGCGCATGCTCCGTGGGTTTCTTTTATGGGAAGACGCTCTCAGGCAGGCGGTCCCTCCCTCCTTCCCTCCCTCCTTTCCTCCCTCCCTCCCCTCTTGTCTGACTCCGTCTGGGAAGGAGAGGTTTGGTGCATCGGCGGAGACCGGGGAGGCTGCCAGGACGCGATCCGGAGTTGAGAGTTAGTTTGGTTGGGTACATTTGTGGCCTCCCAAGGATCAGCTGCGTGTTTCTTCATCTTCCTCATCATCCTCGTGTACCGGCGAGCAGCGGTAACCCGAACATCCCGTCGCATTGATTGCGGTCCACGGCGCAGCGCGAGACGAACCACCGGTGAAGATGTCTGGCTATCAGGGCAAGAAGAACATCCCCCGCATCACAGTGAGTGTTCGCGTGCTTAAAAGTTGATCTAGATGAGGTTAAATCCAGTTGAGTGTCCGGTGTCTGGTGGCGTGGGCCTGCGGGTGTGGGTGCAGGATGTCACCGGGGCGGCATGGTGCCTGCGCCGCTGCGCCCCTCCGACAAATGTGAGCTCGGAGCTGAAGCATAAAGCTGCTTCTTTAATGCACTTTGCACATGCATGCTGGTTTATTGTGCAATCCTCATGTGCACTGACCGCACATTAGGATCGATTAATCGATGTGGACACCGGTGGGTGTAAATGTGATTTTTTTTTTGTAGCATCTTTGCGACAAGTGCTCATCTACCTATAAAACCCAGCACTTAACCTGAGAGTGTGTATCTCAGCTGCAGACTCACACTCCAGGCTGCCATGCTTTGTGCACACTATGCATGACAGTGGAGATTTCACGCCGGTGGTCTTTGTTACACGGTGTGTCTGGTCGCCGGGTATCACCGCACACCAACTGCTGGGGCAAATGCCTCCCTGCATCCGCACAGCACCCGGCTCTTTTATCCAAGCTCTTCTTTCACTCTGCTAAAACCGGCTTTTCATTTATTTTTAGAGGCGCAGAAGCATTCAAGGGCACGTTAATGGTGTTACAGATTATTTCCCTGAATTCATAGCGGAGCTGCGGGGATGGTGGTGCTGGTGGTGGTGGTGGTTCAATGGAA